AACAGAGAACAACGATCGATTTTTATTGCTTGAGGAGCCAGGAATTGATCTTTAGCTCTCTCCTGGCTGAAGATCACCTGACCTTAGCTCTCTCTTGCCCAAAGACCATGGGCTCTGGATTAGTCCGTATTTACGATTATACAACATAGCAAGGGACACAAGGGCAGATGCAGGGAACAGCAGAACTGATGTGCTAATGCCAGGCTGTGAAAGGGGAGTAACTGTGTTCTTGTGCAGGCCAGGTCACAGTTAAAAGTCACCTGTGCTATCTTGCAGGTGGTAGCTAATGAGGCACCTGACGTTTGATCTGGATCTTGGAGAACGGCTGCACAGAGTCCTAAGTCCTCAGCTGCAGAGACATCACAGCCTCATGGTCACGGAGACCTCAGTTGTGACCACTGGCACAGGGAAGCCCGTCTCCTACACCTCACACACAGGCCTTGGGGTGACTGTAACCTTAACCTTAATGAATAGCCAAATTCATAAGCCAAACCAGTAATGTCTAAAGCCTGCTCAGTGCAGGTTCAAGCTGTTCTCCTGCACCCAGCTGTGGCCGGGAGCGTGGGGCTGTCCAGAGTCCCCTCTCCTTCTTCCTCCAGGCCTCCATTCCATGGGATACAGAGAGACCTGGCCTTTCTCCCTGTGGCCCCAGGTCCCCGTCTCCTGTCTGCTCCGTGGTGTCTGAGAGGCCAGAACCACCGCACCACAGTGGGGAGGAGAGGATAAGAGCATGACTGGGCAGGATGGAAAGAAAGGAAGGCTCCTGGCAACCCTTCCTGTTTGGCTTTGTTGTTTGTTTTGTGGCTCTGGGGGTGGAACCCAGGGTCTTGCTCAGGGTCAGTCAGCCAAGTGTGCTCCCACGGAGCCACCACCAACTTGAAATCTCTTGTGTGTGTGCTCATGACACTGGGGATTGAACCCAGAGACTTCACGCTGAGCTACATCCCCAGCCCCGCTTTTAAATGTTCTTTTCTTTTCTTTATTAAATTTTGAGACAGGGTCTCACTAAGTCCCTAAATTGTCAAAGCTGGAACCAAACTTGCAGTCCCGCCTTAGCCTCCCAGAGTGCTGGGATTACAGGCAGGCACCACATGCCTCGCTCCAAAACCACTTTGTAGAACTTGGTGGAATTTATTCTCTCTGATTTCCTTGTATTCAGATCACTGTCCTGAAACAAAAGGTAAGAAGGCTGTGGTCTCCCCAAGCTCTGCCTGCAGTCCCCTATTCTCTTTGCTTCCAAAGCCAAGGAGAAAGAAGGGGCCTTGGCCTCAGGGCTCATAAACAAGCTCACTTCGCCTTAGCTGCCACATGGCGGGGGGCTGTTCTCTCTCTTAAGCCTTGAGGATTCCGCTGCTGCTGTGTGAGTACCCAGCTCCCCGGCCCGTACCCACGGTGGGCTTGGGCGGACTGCACCACGGACAGAAAGCAGGCTTGTGGGTGCTTCCTTGGCGCTGGGTTTCACTCTCTCCTGACTCACCTTCCCCTATTTACTCATTCACCATCTGCTGGCAGGTCTGGTGCCCAGAGCAGGGCCTGGTCCTGCAAACTCCAGCCTCCCGGCTGAGCCCTGCCCTGGTGACTCACGTGGAGGTTTTCCTGGGGTCACGGTATAGTGTCTGTCCACGCCCACCCTGTGAGTCCCTGAGGGACTGGGCTGGCTCTGGGCAGATGAATGCAGAGGGACCAGCTGGCCCAGGTGGGGGAGGAGCAGCAGTCACTGTGCAAACCACTGCAGGCTAGGGGCACCCCTGGCCGCTGGGGGCACAGTCCTGTGCACAGTTGCCCTAGAAACTGGCTGCCCACTTCTTCCCTGGCGGCAGCGGCATCCGTGTGACTGGGCCGTGGCATGGTCGGTCCAGCATCTTGCTGGGACTGGGGGTTGAGTGGCCACCTCCAGAAGTCAGGAGCTTCTCCTGCAGAGTGGGGCTGTCCCTGCAGGTGAGGGTGGGAGTGGAAGCCTGAGCTCCGTCCCACTGGGCAGGGGGCCAGCTTCTGCCCAGAGCATGGAGCCAAGGAGAAACTGGGCAGGATCCGTGGAAACCAGACACTTCCGAAAAGGCCACTCCCCTCTGCTCTCAGTGCAGAGGGCTCCAAAGCCCTCTCATCCAAAACCTGTGAGCTAGAACGACTCCCCATGGTGTGGAAGAAGGGGTCTGGGGGCGCACTGTGCCTGCCCACCTGACAATGAGTCAGAGCCGCAACAAAGACAGGGGACATCAAATAAAAGTGACATAAAAATTTAGGTTCCAGGGGACTTTCGCTGGAAGGAGACACACCAAGAAGGGGAGAGTTCCCATCTCAGAACCCGAAAGCATCCCAAGGCCGACAGAAAAGGGTCTTCTTGGTGTCACACAGAGGCCAGCAGCAGCTCAGAGGGGAGGAAGTCCCCCTGATTCCCCCAATCCCAGGGGGAGCACTGGGCTGGGAGCCCACTGCCCCAGAGGGGTTAGCACAGGGCAGCAGAGTAGTGGGCAGGTAGGAAAGATCCGGGAGGGGCTGGTGAGTGCAGCACTTGGTACTCGTGAGAGGAGCAGAGACCTGTGACTCACGCACACACCAAATGAACATGTTCTGAGGATTTGAACACAATCAAACGATGCGGCCAGGCAGTTGTTTTAACTGGATCAAAGCAGAAGTCAAAGAAGCACGCAGGTGCTGGGGCAGAGTACAGGGAGGAATGTGCTAATAGGCGGGACTGGCTACTCCAAGGTCAGGATCGCCTGCACACCTGAAGTAAAAGCTACCGACATTGCTACAGTTGCCAGAGAAAGAGATACTACATAACCCAAGGCACCCCTGGTTCTAGCCAGGCTGCTCTGGGTGCAGCCAGGCGCTCTCCGTGCAAAGCTGTCTTGGGACCGCAGGGAGTCAGCAGAAGCATCTCTGTCTTCCCGCCAGCAGCCCAGCGCGCTAGGACCCATCCCCCAGTGGTGACAATTTAAAAATGCTCCGGATCACCCTCAGATCAGAAGTCCGGGTGGGGGCTGCCGCAGTTGACCGTGTTGCTCTAAAAAATGCCTGGCTTCCCACTGGGGCTCGAGTTCTCCCTGTACCTCGGAGGGCACCGGGGCGCTCACCCCACC